AAGCACTACTTTTGTACCCGTTGACCTTTGCACACCTTTTATTAAAAAAAAAAAAAATTAAGGTGCTCTATGCTTTCCTCAACACTAATAGTTTTATTTGTCACTACCCAGAGTGCATTGCAGCAATGACAGCTGCACAGCTAAGTGATTGGAAGCGGAATTAGTGTGTGTGTGTGTGTGTGTGTGTGTGTGTGTGTGTGTGTGTGTGTGTGTGTGTGCGTGAATGTACTTGAAACACCTGTTGGGGAGTGAAAAAAACAGCCCCAAAGAAAAACAAGCCAGGTGACATTTTTAACTTTGCTAACACACACACACACACACACATGCACACACTAACCTCGTAAAATTGTGTGACAACTGAAATTAATGCATTGAAAGTGTTTTTGCTTTGCTAATCCTTGAAATGTCCGTGGTAGAGATTTCCTGGCTATAAATCATTCGATGTCAAAAAGGAAAGTGACAACAATGATAGTTGGAAACGTCGACTCAGCACAGTCGGCTTAGCCTAGTACAAGACTATGTTAAAAAAACAGGAGAATGCTCCAAAGTCATTCTTGCCATCATAACTATGCCACTGGGCCACCCCTTCAAAACGGGCTAGAAAAACTGGTTGAAAGGATACCATAATGCTTTAATAATTATAATTTATAATTAATTTTGTTATCACAGTTGTAAAGGCTCAACAGAGAATCATTCATGTTGAGAAAGAAGCGACATTATTATTAACACGTGTGACTTATTACATTGGAGAGTCGGGCTGCTTGAACTGGCCGCCACGCCGCCAACGTTATGGAAATGACTGCCGATGCTACTGAGAAGTCTAGACGGCCGCGTGGAGCCGAAACGACATTTGTAGCCAGGCCCCTTGATAAGGCAATGGAAATTTCAAGGCTTTCCCACCGAGCCAGAAGCGTCTGGGCAGAATGTCTGGAATTCCCAATGGTCACAGATGACTAGCGCCCATTCGGCGGCCGTTCGAGAGAGAGTGAGACTGCAAAAATAAAATGGTAGTTGTTAACATTCCCATAAGCTCACGTCACAGCAGCTTTTAGACATCTGAGGTCATCTTCTTGCAAGTAAGTTTCAACTGGATTGTCAACTCAGAGGGCATGGTGTAAATAGGAGGGGGGGGTCTAAGAGGGGGTCTTGACAGTTTGTCGCTAAGGGGGCCCAATTTGTGAGCGCATTGCCTCTTTGTCAACGCACCACTGCACAATGTAGATGCAACACTCCTCTGCTAAACACGACTTGAGAGCTATTAAATCCCACTAAGCCAGGTTTGGGTTAAATGCCAAAAGGTGAAAAGTTATCATAAATACAATTTAAAAAAATGACAGTCAGCTGAATTTCTCCCAAACCTAACTGTCATTTTTTCAGGAAACTTGTTGAATGTGCGACAAAGAAAAAGGAATTAAAGCAGAATCAGCTGAAACGCCTGCATGTAACGAAGCGTTTTTCTCTTTGTTTTTTTTTTCAGAAAATTTGTTGAAGTTAAGAATTTTTCCGGCCAACACGGTGGATGTGGGCTTCATAGTCGAGAGGTGCCTGGTTCAAGTTTCTGTGTCAACTTTGCATGAACACCGCTCCATCCATCCATCTTCTGTACCGCTTGCCCTCGTTTTGGTTGTGGGTGAACCGGAGCCTATCCCAGCTGACTTGAGGTGAAAGACTGGTTGCCCAACAATAGCAGGGCACATATAAACAAAACCATTCACACTCACATTCAAACTCCCATCGATGATTTGAGAGTCTTCAATTAAGATAAGAAGCATGTGTTTGGAGGAAACTGGCGTACTTGGAGAAAACCACTGAAAGCACATGCATGAAAACTGTCCACAGTCCAGCAGATATTCGAGCAAGACATCTGACAGCCACACATGCCTGATTTGAATATGGATTTTGAAACATGAGCTGAAAAATGCTTCTGATGAATCTTGAGAAAACATGCTTACATCTCACCAATGGCGCCCACAATAAGAGCCAGGAAAAAAGTGGTTGAAAGTGTTTTGAGTGCTGACTCCGCAAGAACCTCGCCGTTAAATTCCAAAATAAAAGATGAATTGGGATTTTTCCAAAATTAACTGTTTCAGAATATATAAACTATATGACTGTCTCAACTCATTTTTTTCTTAGGGCCTAAGGTGACACCGTTGAATATGTAGATTTCTAAACATATTGTAATACAGTTAAATACTAACAATTAAATCGTTAAGGATCCATCCATCCAGTTCACTTAGCCTGTACAGGGTCACGAAGGAGCTGAAGCCATTCCCAGCTGACACTCGCAAAAGGCAGACAGAATACACCCTGGACTGGTCACAATCAATCATAGTAGTAATAACAATAATAACACATATGATAATAATAATAATAATAATAATAATAATAATAATAATAATAATCCAGTTTTGTCCAACTGAAAACCCACAAGGAATGTGATCTCATCAGTAGCAAAACCACCCAAAAGCGCTAAAATGAAAACTAATGCCTCTAAAATACATGTTGGACGTGATTGATGTTTCTTTATGGCCGCATCGATTTCAACTTTTTGGGACTTGATGGACAATAATTAAAGGGCAAGAAAAAGATTTACAAAGCACCACTGGAAGGGTTTGGAGATATTCATTTCATTGGTGAAAATAACAGTCGAAAAAAACAGAGGGTTGTTGAGGACAGGGCCCAAGTACAGGGCCCAGAGTGCTTCCAGTCAATCAACATTCACTGCTGCTCGGCAAAATTTCCGACCTCAGAATCTCATTAGACGAGATGAGAGTGAGACATCAGAATAAGTTGAGGGCGAGGCTTTTAATTCTCCACACCTGTGTGCCACTTATTCGATGTGAGGACTTGCCAAAACGAATCCATCTAGAGCTCTGCGGGACATTAGGGGCTAAACACTTGCAGTTTAATGAACAAACTGCAGGAAACGACTCTAAACAAGCATGTGTACTGGTTTTGCATTGAGACGTCCTGATTCCCACTGTGATACTTCCCTGTAAATGTTCTGCATCAAATTCAGGACTCAAACTGCAGCAACAGCAAAAGAGAAAGAAAGGGGCTGGTGTAAATAAAGCAAAGAGATGCTCTCGAAACAGCAAAAACCTGCTCCGAGTGCTGGTGCGACTGGAAGAACCTGCCCCCGGGTCACAGCATGACGTGCACAGACTTGTTGCATAGAATTGAGGGTGGAGAGTAAACTGGCTCTCGTATTGAAACTGCCACACGGGCGCCAGAAAAAGAAATGACAGATTTGCTTTGTTTGCACAATTCTGTCGTGTTTTAATTATGGTTTGATTACTTGTCCACGCTCTTTAATTATAGGGTTCTTAGTTGTGTAAAGTTTGAAGATACTGGACTACAACACGATTTGCCAAGTGTATGCATGGTCACAAGAATTAACATTAGGCTATATTCTCTCCGTGTCTGATCCGATTCAAATCCAGCTTTGACAATCCCATTACCTAAATCCGATTTGGACAAAATCTACCAATCGCTTGCAGGGTGCCAAGCTGCAACATGAAATCAATTGAATCCATCACTGACCCAATTTGAAGATAACCCTGACAATCTCATTTATTATGATCAGGAACTTTAAATGTGTCTAGTATGGACAAATGCGTCACTGCATACACTGTCGTGGGTGGGTTGCATCAAGAAGGGCATTCAGCGTAAAAACTGTGCCAAATATATTTCATACGGGTAACTCGCTGTGGTAACATCTGATAAAAGGAACTTAGATGCCAAAAGTCAAACAACATGCAAAGTCAAAAGCTGTAAAATGGAGCCAACTTTAATCGGTTCAGGATCCAACTGGAACGCAACACTGAAAATCTCATGATGAATCTACAGGATCAGACATTTATGTGGCTTCTTCTTTTCTTTAGTTTTTTCCTGAATGTGAAGAGTGCGTTGCCACACAGCGCGGAGGCATTTTGCCGAATAACACGATAAGAATGGCAAAGAACATTTAACGGGACAATCAACAATGCAGCTCAATGTCTGAGTGGCGACTCTGCATTTTGTGAATTACGTCACATGCCGGAGATTGCCGAATAAAAGTATTTTCGTTCTTAAGCACGTTTGCTATGGCTCTAAATGTGAACCTGGGAGGGTTGTGTTAAAAAAAAAAAAAAAAAAACGAACAATATATGCTTAAAATTGTTTTAGCCACAAGTATTAGTCAAAAGAGGGTTGGCCAAGTTTACTTAAAACTTGAAACCAAATTCAACCCAGATCTGATTAAATTTGAGTCTGCAGACATTGCCATTGAGCATGATCAGACATTGACATCTCTGTCGACGCTGATCTGATTTTGACATAATTTACAAAATGCTTGCAGGTTTGGAAGCTGCAAAATGAATCAAATTATATCCAAATCTGAGCAACTTTGAATCTAACACGACAATCCCATTTGACAAATTCAGGTCCTGACACCTCTGTCTAATTCGCCACGTTCATCCAGTGTTAAAATGTTGACGTGACACAAAATTCAACGCAAATCTGATTCCATTTAAATCCAACACCAGTCCCATATCTGTTAAATGTTCTTATTTGGACAAAATGTTGCCATGTGTAGTGAGTGCCAGAAGCATTTACATTAAACAAAATACAGTCTAGATGCAATCTAATTTAAATCTAATACATACTGACAATCCCATTTAAAATGGCTTACAGTCAATGTGTGGAATCTTATCTGCTGTGGAAAAAAATGACATGCATATATATTCAGGCTAAGAAGCTCTGAGGTGAAAACAAATTTAAATCCAAATATGATCTAATTTGAATTAAACAGGGACTACCCCATTCTACATGATTAGGTCCTTACATCGCTGTTACAACTTGTCAGATTTTGATTTCATTTGCTATGTGAATGCAAACTGAAAACTGGACTGTCAAACTAAATCCCATCTGGATCTGATCGAGAGCAAACATTTGGTAATGATTCAACAAATAACCGTTTAAGCTTTGTGGCTGCATCGCTCGTCATACAGTCGACTCACCGTACATCTTGCCCTCGTCTGACAGGATGATTTTCCTCCGGCCGCAAGGAGGGTAGATGGCGAGGGCCTCCTGGAAACTCTGCTCGATATCCGGGCTCCACACCCCCTCGGCGTCGCCGTCGATGGCTTTGTCCTCGTTGTCCCCGCCATCAAGCCCATCTTCTGGGCTTCCGTTGGCACTCCAATCGTGGGACGCAATGGTGGCGGCTCCCCCTGGGCCCGACCCCGAGCCCCAATACGAAAGGATCGATAAGAAAGCTGTAAAAAAACAACAACAGAGCCAAGCACTTAGTTTTAACTACATTTGAAAGGAAAAAGGAAACGTTTTGCGTGATTCTCCACAAAACCAAATGAAAGTCCTCATTTATTTACAGAGGCAGACCTCAAAAGAAAATGCTAATGCAAGAACACATGGTCCCAAGATGTTACGACATAAGAGATGGTAACAAGAGACACACAACATAAAAAGTGAGATGATGGCAGCTTAAAAAAAACATTCAGTGTCCACACAAAAACACCAAAAAGTACAAAGGAGCAGATTCCTGATGTGTATCCACTGTCACAAACACTAACATGAAACCAAATAAAATTCTTATATGATCCACTTAGATTTAACATGAACATATACTTTTGTCATGTACTTTTGTCTCAGACAAATCCAAATATTTGATTCGGATAAAATGTGTGTGTCTTCAAAATCAGAAACTGTAACATGTCCGCGTACAATTTAAATACAATACTGACAATCGCATTTAATATGATGAGCAAGGCAAAAATCTGTCAACTCATATCTACATTTGACAAACTGTGCTGAATGAATGCTGGGTAATCAGTTGCAACATGAAATCAAATTGAATAAAGATCTCATCCAAACAAACACAAACAGAAATAAGGCACATTAAATGAGGTAAACAGGCATGCATGACAACATGCGCTAGGCCAATTTAGTGCCGGCCAAATCAAACATTAGCGTACATCCATCGGCAGCAGCAGCAGGAATTAAATGTAACCAATAAATGAACACTACAGATTAAATGGCAACGACACTCACCTCGCATGGACGAACACTGGAAAAGGCACCCCCCCCCCCTCACCATAACACATTTGACAGGTCGTTAATATCTTATGAGCGTTCCACTCTTTAATTGCTTAACTACTTGCTTGTCGTGCAGGTCACTCTCTCTCCCCTCTTGCTCAAACGCAACGCCAAGAGCCCCCAACCCCAACAAAAGATTTGCACTTATCTTGACAATAGTCATTTCGGTCCCAAAAATTCAGAAATCTGCCGATTGGTGAAACATTTTCATCCTGGCATATGTATGCAGGCCCAGAAAAAGTTAACATTAAACCATATTCAGACTAGATGTGATCCGAGAAGTCACGTACAAACAAGATGAATTGTGCTTGTTAATATACCATCCATCCATTTTCCAATCCGCTTAATCCTCACAAGGGTCGCGGGGGGTGCTGGAGCCTATCCCAGCCATCTTCGGGCAGTAAGCGATGGACACCCTGAACCGTTTGTCAGCCAATCGCAGGGCACACAGAGACGAACAACCATCCACGCTCACACTTTCACTTTACTTTGACAATTTAGAGTGTTCAACCAGCCTGTCATGCATGTTTTCGGAGTGTGGGAGGAAACCGGAGTACCCGGAAAAAACCCATGCAGGCCTGGGGAGAACCGCATCTATCAATTCACCTTGTCCTATATATCTTTAACTTCCATTTGGTTATCCTAATTCATTCAACATCAGATAATAAAGATGAGTCACACACCATCATGTGACACTGAATAAGGCGAAAGACTTCCGCCGAAACATGTCAGGTAAATAACAACCTAAAAAAAATAAATACCTTGTCTGAGATAAAAGTACCAAGTTCAAAAATGCATCCTCCATATAGCCATGCCACAGATGACACCATGACAAATCATTCCTCAAATTTTCTGTCTTTGCATTGAACGAATGAAAATAAATTCAAGATAGACCATGAAATGAACTTGAAAGAGCTCACTAATCAGGACTGGCCTCGGAGAATGTTTGTGGTCTCGGAACTGTAGGAACTGTGTCTCAACGCGGTCAGATCGCGGCCGACGGCAAGCAGAAATCCAAAGTGTTTTTCAAGCTGTCTCCGCAGCCTTGCATTGTCTCCCAGATGGAAGTCTATGAAGTAACCACGAACCTCCCTCCGCAGGGAGCTTCTTTTTCTACTTAAGCTTTCGTGCAGATGCAGTTGAGTGGGAAGGATGAATAAGAAATGATCAATGTTTCTCATAATGATGTTTGGGTCGCAATATTAACGTGATTTCTCGTGGCTTGTCTAAAGCTTTATGCTCGAAAATAACCTCATTTGCAGGGGATTATTTATGAGGGAAAACATGTAATGCAGCCACCCATCCATTTTCTTTTGCGCTTGTCGTCATGAGGATTGTGGGTAAGGTTGAGCCTAACCCAAGTGACTTTGGGCAGGAGGCGGGGTACATCCTGAAGTGGCCGCCAGGCTGTTGCAGGTCATAGAGTAGATAGCCAAAGAAGAATTCACATTAATATTCATAGTTTTGCACAAATTAGCGTTCAATTAAGCTAATGTGCTTGTTTTTGGAGTGTGGGAGGAAGCTGGAGTAGCCGCAGGAAAAGTCATGCAAACAGTAATTGAACATGCAACAATTCCAGACAGAAAGCCAAAGCTGAGATTCGGACCTTGAAACTCAAAACTGTAAGGAGTACATGCTTACCACTTTGACCACCAGAAATGGAAAATATTGAAAACGAAACGGATACCCAACTTCCCAATGATTTACGCCACACTACTTAATCTTGATTAAACCTGATACTGTACATGTACCATAAAAGCTGCTCAACAAAACAAACAGGTTCCAGTTGTACAAGCTCAAATGAAACTGAACTGTCTTTAGGGTGGAAGAAATGTCCAAATGAAATCGAAAATATTCGCTGTAATTATGAATTTACTACTGTCGCCTTAGAAACGGAACTCTGTCGGAAAGCAAGGATCACTCTGTATAGTATTTGTATCTTTATTCTGTCATATAGGCTTGATGTCTCACAGTTTATAAACGTGCATGATTAGGTGACAGGTTGTCAGTACGTCGAGCTTTCCATCAGAGTGACAGCTCTTACATGCCTTCTGCATCCAGCCTTACTCTCTGTAGTTACTTTGTATTTTCATTGATAAAGACCTTGACTTTTCAACTTTCGTGCCATGTCTGTTCCTGAGTCCTAATTCCACAACCATGTGACAGTACATACTAACCAGTTGTGGACCCAGCAGACTCAGGCACAATCCATCGAGCCGCAGATGTCACGACCTGCTCCTAACCATCCCTCCACCTCCAATCAAGGAGTGATCGTCTCACAGGCTGCTGCTTCGCCTTTTCACCGGCAACCCCTCGTGTCGCTTCTCCTTGATAGGTCGCCCTCAGTCTGCCGAGCACCCCCACGCCCTTCGTGTGAGCTCTGACTTACTTAAAGGTGAGAGAGACTCCACGTCTCTCTCACCTTTACCATCTACTTGTCCTAGTTTTTCACGCTCCTGTTCTATTTTACCACCCCATGTTTCATTTTTAGACTCAGATTTTTCTGATTGTGAAGATGGCCCCTCTTTGGTTAACCTCCTTTCTGATTCTGATTCGGATTTTGACACAGACTTTTGTTTTACTAGTTACTTCCCCAATCGTTACTCAAGCACTTGTCAGTTTTTGTCACATTTTTCTGTTGATGATCACTCAGAGTCTACCCCAGAACCCTTCCCTTCAGACACTTCCTTGGGCGCCCGATTGGCCATTTATCCGGGACCTCCACAGTTTGGCCAACATAGGCGCCCAGGTAAAGGTTCTGGTTCCGCATCATTCCAAACCTGCCCCCAAGCCACTTTACTCCCCGCCTTTTTCGTCACCTAATTCACTATCCAATTCTTCAACTCCTCCCATTCGTCATGTTTCTGCTTTCCCAGTGCTTGTTCTCTTGGCCCCTCGTGTCTCTTGTGCTTCCCAACTTCTATGGTGGCAGGCTAATGAGGCAAGGCCCCGTGCCGGCACCTCAGCAGCTGCAACAAGTAATAGTGTACATAACAATGCCTGACCGAGCTTTTATTTTGAAGTTGACTCACTTGACTTCTATTTAAGGCTGGGCTGACCTATTTTTAGTGTGCATAAATGCAATGACTGACTTGAACTGAGGTGATATATTCAATTTCCAGTGCCCATGCGGGCCGGGGCACAACTTATGTGTACCCCTGGTCTTTGGTTATGAGTGAGCTGAAGCATATCTGCGCTAACTTAAGGCGAGAAGTGTCTCCACTGGACTAGTCACTGGCAAAACGCAATGTCCATACAAACAACCATTCATACTCACATTCACATTTATTGACCTATTTAGAGTCTTTGATAATCAAACACTTTTAGGGATGTGGGTTAGGAAGCCTGACAAAAGCAAATTGCACAGATTCAAACCAGAATCTCTCGACTGTGAGGTAAATGTGTTCACCACTAGTGCACCGCGCTATTCGGAAAATTCGCTACTTAAAATCTTTTTAGGGAACTCCTCCTAATTTACACAAAAAAAACATTAATTCGAAAAATTGTTTTAATAGCTTTTGTTGAAAATTGAGTTTTGGAAAGTTTGCTTATGGACAAAATTGATTTAAGAGGAAGGTATTCATTTTAATTGATTTTGCTCTCGAGTGACGCAGCAGCATTCGGTCACACGCCACGCTGAACATGCTATCACCAAACCCCAAACAGAGTTTGACAAATAACCCCGCGTCAGGTGGCTAAATTTAACAGGCGAACCCTCGTTGGCAGCAGACCCCATTAAACAGGGTCATGGCATTACAACTCAACACTGCAAACTGAGCCCCCCAAGGAGACACTCATGTGAGGCATCCCCAGGGGATACGGTAGATACTTGGTGTGAGGCTTTGGGTAAAAATTATAATTAAAATAGAGTGGTGAGTGGAGGGTGGGATGAGTAGAAGAAATGTCCCCCACTAAGAGAGCAGCAGAAAGAGGAACAACATGCAGATGTGAGGGCACCACGATCTTGGTCAAGTGAGGTGCTTTGCCCAGAGTGCGGCCTGAATTCCAGACATGTCCTTATTAAGAAAGGGCTGCGAGTGCTCACTGCTTCTCCTCCTGCCTCCCCTGTGTCAAACCGACGCCCCCGACATAGACTCCCCCCTTTCCCTTTCCGACCTCCCCTCCCAGTGTTGGGAACGTCTCTACCCAAATAAGGACAGGAGACCAGTGGAAGGGAGGAGTGGGGTGGTTGTGGCTCGGCCGGGGAGTTGGTTAGTTTGTCAGGAGAGCGGAGGGATAAGTGAGGAGGGGAGGGGGCCAACGGGGGTTTGTTGTGGGGGTGTTGTCCAATTTTGGCTTCCACTTTGGTGTTTGGAAAACAGAGGGACTGTTTGAGCCCGAAAGCAACATCAGCACGGTGAAAGGGGTGGGGGTATTGGAAGTGGAGCCACAATTTGTTTCACTGCATCCACTGGTTCTACATCTCACCATTTCTACCAAGCACTGAAAGAAAGACAAAATTAGGGATGCACCAATACCACTTTTTTGAGGTCGTTTACAAGTTCTTACATCTGCGTATTCGCCAATAGAATACCGAAACTTGACAATGCCATTATGTCTTGCAATTGTGATGAAAATTTAATTTTAACCAAATATTGTTGAAGAACATAAACCAACTGCATTGACATTTTAACATCCAACCGTGTGTTATTCCTAACAGTCTTCTCACACATTCCATTTTCACTATGTAGCCTGCAACACAAGGAATGTTGATTTCTATGGTGTCTAGGTCTAAACAGTAGGGGGCACTATCTAAAAGAAGTACAGTAAACCCCTTCCATAATTGGGGTTCTTTTCCTGATCGACACAGAAATACCGTTTTTAAACATTGAATATAGTGAGAAAGAGTAACAGCAATGGATACGACAAAAATATTTCACACTGTAGGAGTGTATTGATCCCTCTGTGTTTACATATACCCCATTTTTTTCCCAACAAATTTAACACATCATGTCACAATGT